TAAAGAACTGCATGAGAAGAATCCGAAAAGCAAACATGAAGAATATTTTTGAATTCTTTATATCCCGTGGAGCAGGGAAACGTATATTTTAGAATGCTTCTCATTAAGGGTAAAGTTTTTATCTTTTTTAGTGACTCCTTCACCAGGGGTCCAACACATCCAAAGTATTTCAATTTCCCTTTATCATTATGAAATGCAACTCACTCTCTTTGGTAATGCATCTTATATTTAAATCTTCATTGTCTGATATCAATATAGCCACTCAGCTTTTTTTATTTTTGGTGTTTTTTTTTTACCTGATATCCACAACCCAGGCCTGCATTCTTCAGTGTATTTCTTAATTCCTTCCCACGGGATATGGCAAGGAGGTGACTGAGGAGGCTGCACATGACAGTCATGGCAGCTTTCTTGTGTCCTCAAACGTGGGCCTCATATCTCCAACGTGCCAGAGAAGCTCTAGCATTGAGTCCAGATAATAACTGACTAACCGAGCAGACTAGAATGATAGTCCCAGATGCTTGAGCCAACCTTAAATCCTATATCCCCTGTGAAAAGATTTGGTTCCATCAAGCCTTACTCTTGGTCCTCTTTGGTCTCACAGCCTTAGAATCTGTATCAGTCAGGGTCCAGGAAGGAGTCAGAAACTACACACTAATTTTAACAGGGAAAGTGTAATATAAGAAATTATTCACTAATAACAGGGGATTAGAATTAATGTGGGGACTGGTTACTAAGAGTGTAAGAGAACTTTAAAGAATAAGGAATGTAGGGAGCAACCTCTCCCACTCCGGCTGGAAGAGAAGCCCTTCTTCCTGCATTGTCCTCTAGCACCCTCTACTGGCAAAACCGAGCATTGTGTCAGATGGATGCTTGCAAGATCCAGCAGGGCAATGAAGAGTGGATCTGGGACTGAGAGGCAATAAATGGGTAACTGGCACAGAATCTATTCATACACATTCTCTGGGACTCCTGACAGTGCATATTGGTGAGGTCCTGTAAGGCTCTCGATGTGTGGCATGCTCATCCCAGGCAGGCCCTGTGTTTCTCTGGAAACTCACTCTTGTCGATCTGGAGGACAACAAGCACTGCCTTGTGAGCCGGCTGCCCCAGATGCATCATTGGCAGGCTTTTATGCAGGGAGGGCTGGTTCTCTCAAATGGAAATGGGGAACCATCAATGTGGAGGGGGTTTGGTGTGCCCAAAGTTTCTATCCCATGTCTGTGCTTCCCATTAGCACAGCCTGGCAGGGTTGAACACTTACCTGGTGGTGCATCTCTGCAACCAGGTTCTAGGCTTGGTCCTCAGCTATATCTGCCCTGGGACTAGAGGAGGACAAGGGATGTTGCCAAGGAAACTTTTCGATTGTCTGTTGCATTACATTTGGACATTCTCATTTTTCAATTGCTCCCCTTCCCCATGTTTGCTCTCTAGGATCATCTGAAGAAACCGACTCCACAATCAACATAGTCACCAGTGTTGCCATAGTAACAAAGTACCACAGCCACTTCAACTCCCAATATCTTGCTTTCCACCTGCCCTTCTTTCACTGCTAGCACCAGTGATAATTTGAGCAATTGTGAGACTACCATAGACTTTGTCTCACCTGTGCCCCATCAAGATGCTTATCTCTGTGCTTCACCTAGGTCCTAGGTAATGGAACCTAATCCCAGAAAACAGTTTTATGGGTCTGTTTCCAGGTGCCACTCCTGATCCTAACTATTGAATTGGTCAGGGTCCCAGCAGGAAATGACAGTAAGACAGATCACAAAATGGCATGGGATGCCCCTGGGGCGCTGTTTGGCACCAGTCTAACAGGCTGTTATAGATAGACTTGTGTCCCTCTCACCCCACCAAATTAATCAATTGAATCCCTAACCCTCAGGACCTCAGAAAGTGACCTATTTGGAAACAATCCATTACCTATTTGCAGTAGTAGTCAAGTTAGAGGTAATTAGGGTGGGTCCTAATCCAATATTACTGGTGTGCTTACCCAAAAGGGAAATTTGGACACAGAGACACACACAAAAGGAAGATGATGTGAAGATACGAGGAGAAGACAGCCATCTACAAGCCAAGGAGAAAGGCCTGGAACAGATCCTTTCTTCCCAGCCCTCAGAAAGAACCAACTCTATTGACACCTTGATTTTTGGACTTCCAGTCTCTAGAATCATGAGACAATAAATTTCTTTTTTTTTTAAGCCTCCCAGTCTGTGGTACTTGGTTACCATAGCCCCAGGAAACAAATACATGGGCCAAGAGTCAGTTTAAGAGGAACTTCACTATTGGTGCTAGAAGCCAGCTGTGAAGCTGGGACTGAAGAGGCAGGGGAAGTGCTAGTCAGAGAGACGGGATGGATGAGGGGCCAGAGACAAGATTGTAGAATTGGAAGCAGGTGGCTGTGCAGCTCCCAACCACCCTCTCGGGCCTCCAGTTCCCCTAATCCATTGGTCTTGCATTGGCAATTGTGGCCAAGATCTGGAACCCTGCCCCGTACCTGAGGTTACACAGTGCCCTAGGAACACCACATACTGTCGCAGATCTAGGGAGGTGGGTGTTGGAGCCCTGAGTCCTGAAAAGAAGGAGAGTGACTCAGACTCCTGGGTCCTCAGGGACAGTATCTTTGGGATCAGAAACATTTCTTAATATTTATATTTGCTCTAATATTCATTAATAATATTCATAATTATATTCTTAATGTTAACTGTCCCCAATTGAAAGATTGAAAGTTCTTCATATATTAAGAGGAAAGGGGGACTGGGACAGGGACCCACGGGTTCCTGTGTGATAAGAGAACGGGGATCCTGGCATCAGGGACCCAGCATTTTAGATGAATTTCTTGCTGTCTTTTCTCTAACTCTGCTCCTGGAGGTTGGATCAAAACCATATTGAGCACTAAAGACTGCCTACCCCCTAAGCCTGCTCCCTGTTAAAAGGCACCAATCAAGAGAACCGCTTCAATTATTCTAACAACCGCCAATGCTTCCAGAATATGCCAACCAGACACTGATGACAGAATCACCCATGCTCACTACCACTATAACACAGAGAACTCCTCTGAAATCTGCGGGCATGGCCCCTGCCCTGTTGCTGTGGCAAGGTTGGCAATGACCATGGCCCTTTGGTGAGGTGCTTCATTTCTGCCTCCTGTGACCCCCAATCCATCCTGTCCTGCAGCCCCGGGACCTGACGCCTATTTATGTCCCATCCCTCCATGACTCACAGGCCTATTCTTAGTGTTTTAAATGTTAAACCACCAAGTAATTAGGGCTACAATATAATTTAATTGCAACTCTTTTGTCTTGGATTATTTATTTTTTTTTAGAAAACATTTGTGAGGGATTCTAAAAGGATATGATACTTTTCCTAATCTAGCTAAGTTGCTTTCTCTTAATATTTGTACTGTCTCCTTAATGTTCGTAACATATTTTCACCTGAAATTAAGAGCTAGACCAACACCATTGTTACTGGGGCATTTTCTCTACTAAAAATAAATATTCGTTTATACCATAGGACTCATAGACACAGTACCAAATCTGAAAGTACACAAAAGGCATCTTGATTTCACGTTACAGCCAGTAAGCTGACATACATGAAACAGAATTCTCGGCCACGAACAAGAAATCTGAAGGTCGTGTCTTGCTCGCGGTGCTGACAAGGTCACGGGGGTCAGACACCGCGGCAGCCTGTACCGGCACACAGCTCCTGCTCACGCACACATGCTGGGGTGCTGGAAAGAACACGCAGGCCGGCCTTCCTCCGCTCAGCTTCCGGGCGGCGATGGAGCGAGCTGGCGCCACGATGCCATCCGAGGGCGCCGCCTGGGCTGAGTGGGAACCTCCGCCCAGTGAAGAGTCGGGAGGTCAAGGTGACCCAGAGGCTGACCACTGCGTGGGTGCTGGGGCAGGGACCAGGTTGGACATATGAGAGGCCCTTTGGGCAAGGAGATAAGTTCAGTGGGTGAGGGCCAAGGATTCACCTCCTAGTGTGGCTGGAGAGTCAGAGCCGCTTTGCCCAGAGGAAAGAGTTAGCGAGGTCCTTCCGGGCTGCGCGGCCCCGCCCCGCATTGCATGCCGGTCCTGCGAACACCAGTGAACTCCACCCCCACCCTCCCCACCCCCCCTCCCTCGAGAGCGCGCGCTCCACTTACCCGCCACTCGCCGTTTTGTGCATGCGTGCCTTCCGAGACTGCCAGGAATCGGCTTCTCCCGGGCCAATGGAGTGTGGCTTTTCTCCAGGCTGATCCAATGAGCTCGTCAGATGCTTTTGCATTGACCAATGGGGCTTCGAGTGAGCTGGGGGGGGGGCGAGGCTGGCGCGGTCTTCGGTGCTTTGCAGAGACGCGAAGAGAAGGCCAGGTTGGGTGAGAGGGGCATTCCGGACCGCACCTTCGGAACCGTTGGGTTCCTGTGGGGTTCTCTGGAAGCCAGGTGGAATTTGGGCCTTTCGAGGCAAAGGGGACGGGGGACCCAGATTCCTGCGTCCTGAGGAAAGAGAAGGCTAGAGGGGGAGAGGCCCCTGGGTTTGAGGGGGGTGAGGCCTGGGACCGGGACACCTGGGGTGACGGAGGGCGGGGCTGGGCCCGTGTCCCGCGGGAAAAGGCGACTGACCCCAAGCTCCTAGGTAGGACAGGGCTGGCTTCTCAGGATCCGGGGTTCTGCTGGAGCTCGGGGATACCTGGGCCGTGAAAGAGCATGGGTTCGAACCGGGGCGCCTGGCCCCGGGTTGCAGAGCCTCTGGCTGTTGAACGCCTGGTCGGAAGGGAATGGGTGGCTGGGTCTGAGAATTACAGCTCTGGACACGGAGGCGCCGCCAACTTACTACCTTGCTCAAACCCACAAGCTACACAGGGACCGACTGAGGTCGTCGTTTTATCCGCCGTAAGCTCTGCCTGGAAGCCCGCGTTGTCGGAACCGGGAGTCAGCCTCGTCCGCGGTGGTTGAAGTTTCCTCTTCAGTGAGGCACAGACCCTGATCAGTGCTTCCAAGCCCCTGAAAGGCGCCATGGGAACCCGTCACGCCCAGGGTTTGCTGGTCCTCTTTCTCCTCGGAGCCTCCTGGACTCGTATGTTCTGGGAAGGGGCGGGGAGCAGCTGGGTCGCAGGAGGGATTTCTGGTGGGAAAGGCGGCCTTTGGGCCCCATGGAGAAGGGCAAATGCTCATCTTTATCTCATTTCCGTTCCTCCCTGCAGTGGCGCAAAATTTGAGTTGTCACAAGGGTACATCCTTGAATATAGACGACTCTCCAAGCACTGCATTTAACTGGACCACAGAGAAAGTTGAGACTTGTGACAATGGATCATTGTGCCAGGAAAGCGCGCTGATGATTAAAGCAGGTGAAAGGAGAAGGGGCAGTTGTGTTGGGTGGGAGGAAGGGTGATGGTGTCCATGTCCATGCGGTTCCCCTCCCCCAGGCCAAGCATTAGGCCCACCACCCACCTCCTCCCCTCTTGTCTTCTAACAGGGACCAATGCAGCTATTTTGACCACTAAGGGCTGCAGTTCCGAAGGGACACAGGCAGTAACATTTGTCCAGCACTCTCCACCCCCCGGCATAATGATAGTCTCCTACAGTAGCTACTGTGAGGACTCCCTTTGCAACAACAGGGTGAACTTACCAGACCTATGGAATCCAAGCATATTGCCAGGTACCTTGGGAAGCGAGAGAAAAACTGTGTAAACCCTTGAAGAGACTGTAGGCCTACCCACCCCCCCTCAGGTTATCGTCATTTATAGTTTCAGGTGTATAGCATAGCGGTTAGACAGTTGTATACTTTACAAAATGTTCCCCCACCTGGCACCCCTTTTTTTGTTCTTAGTTGGCTTAGGCCCAAGTGGGCCATACGCAAAAGGACCTCAGACCTTTTGTTTGTCTTTCTTTTTCTAAATTGTTACCTTGGGGTCTGAACATTGCTCAGAACAGAAGGATATCAATAAAGATTGGGTTATAAATTGGGTTATGTGTTATTGCTTCCCAATTTCCACATGACCATAGCCCACTTCCCCCATTTTGCCTATCTTTTCAGCTCATTTTCTTCTCTTCCCTCTTTTATTAATTGTGTTTTAGCTGAGGCTAATATTCAAAATACTTGACAATAGAGATGATACTATCTAACCAGAATGGACACTAGTTATAAAAACCATTCCAGCCCTACCTGTGCCTACCAGCTAAATATCAACACTGCAATTTCTCACAATTCCCTTATATTCACCAAGTTGGCTCACACCTCCAGGCGTTTGTCCTTGCCGTTTCCTTTGCTACCCCCACCCAACTCCCATTTTCACACAGCTGACCTCTGTTCATCCTCTCTCTCAACTCAGATATCCATTCTGTGAAAACACCAAATTCTTTCAGGTGGTTAGGTCCTCCTCTAATTTTTTGCTCTTATACTAAGACACTGCCTACTGAGTTGTATTGAAGTTAATTACTTACATGTCTTTCTCCTTCTAGACTATGATCCTAGATGGAACTGTGTCCTTTTCATCTCTGTATTGTCATACCTAAGCACAGAGTTTGGAAGTCATGTTGGATGGGGTTCTGACAGCAAAGAAAATCAGTTGGAAAAGAGTGGGAAGGTGTCAATAATAGGCCTTGATTAGAGTGGCATCAGCAGAAAAGACTAGGGGAAGACAAGGCATCAAGGAGAGACAACTCCAGAGGCAGGACCAACTCTTAATTGTCCCTCTCTTTCCCCCTCCAGCTCCCAATACGTCAGTAACCCTCCATTGCCCAACTTGTGTGGCTTTGGGGTCCTGTTTGAATGCACCTTCTCTTCCCTGTCCCAGTGGTACAACTCGATGCTATCAAGGAAAACTTAAGGTCACTGGAGGTAAACGAACATCTGATGGTTTCAGAGGCTGGAAAATTAGACATCTGAGTGGATCCCAAAAGGATCTGACACTCAGGGGCCTAGGAATGAAGGGAGACTGGATTCTTCTCTGGTTTACTAAGACATCTGTGTGTTTCCCCATCCTTCCTTGTTCCATAGGAGACATCGACTCAACTTTGGAGGTCAAAGGTTGTACATCCACACTTGGTTGTAGGCTGATGTCTGGGATCCTCACAGTAGGACCCATGTGGGTGAAGGAAATGTGTCCACACCAATCTACCATTCAATCCAGAAACATTGAAAATGGGGCCACCACCTGGTTTCCCATTTCATTTGGGAGGTTAGAGCTACTGCTGCTGCTGCTATTGCTGTAACCACTCGTCCATTGTTCCTGAGGAGACATCTGTCCCAAGTCACAGGACACTTCTTTGGACTGGGAGCCTTCTGACTGCTGGTCATCAATGAGTTGATGAGCAGGGAAGACTTGAAGAACAGAGAGTTCTTGTGGATATATTTGACATTTCTAATAAAGTTTCTGCTATGTTTTGTGTATGCCCCAAGACTCCCAAGTGAATTTTAGTGCTGAAAAGGACTTTAAAATGTATCTCCTCCAACTCACACCTTTTGCAGAAAGGGAATCACAGATCTGGAAAGCTTTAGTGAGTTTTACACATTACATAGCTATGGGCAGAACCAAGACCAGAACTTTGATATTTTGACCTAAGTTTGGTTTTCCTTTCACTTAATAGGCTACCTTCTCTTGCTAGCTGAATAAGAGACTAGCATTGACCTCCTCTGAAGCATTCCAAGCCCAATTTTAATGCCAAAGTCAGCTGTTTGGGGTTCTAGTATTTCCCTGGGAGGTATGACAGGATGAGGAAAATCAGACTCCAAATTCTATTATAATGAGCCCCATTTTCCTACATCCTGTCTGTCCCTTGGCCACTTTACATCACTCCATCCCTTCTCTGCTGCCTCCTTAATGCTTCTTCAGTGGACAGAGAAAACAGGCAGGAGCTGGGCCTGAGGCTTTCGGGGGGGAGGGGGGGTTATTTTTTAGATTCTCGTGCTCATTATTTCTCAAGAATATATAAAATCTATTTTACTATAAAAGATTTTGAGCTCTTTGCTGCATCAACTGTGAGGATAAAGACTGTTTTCAGCAATCACACTGTCAACATTCCAGAAAATGTTGACATCATTCTGAAGGGACACAGAGGGACTTCAATCACATCAATGTAGAACTCTGTCTCCTTGGAAGGAAAACAAGAATCTCTAGGTTGCCTGGCCGATGTGGCTCAGTGGTTGAGCATCGACCCATGCACCAAGAGGTTGCTGATTCAATTCCTGGTCAGATCACATGTCCAGTTTGTGAGCCAAATCTCCATTAGGGGTCATGCAGGAGGTGGCCAGTCGATATTCTCTTTCATTGATGTTTCTATCTCTCTCTCCCTCTCCCTTCCTCTCTCTCTAAAAATCAATAAAGAAAATACTGTACCAACCTTTAAATCTCAATTAAATGCCTCCCACATCAACACCTATACCATAAAGAAAGAGGAGGGTAAAAGAATCTATGAGATGATAAAAGTTTCTACATTTCACTTGAAGTGGTAAAACATTCAAAATGGATTGTGAATAATGAAATATGAATATTAGACTCCCTTGCATAACCATTAAAAATACCACAAAAGACCAATAATTAAAAGAATAATAATCAGAATAGATTTTTTAAAAGCATGAACCAGCCCTGGCCGGTTTGGCTCAGCGGTTAGAGTGTCGGCCTGCGGTCCGGAGAGACCCGGGTTCGGTTCCGCTAAGGGCGTGTACTTCGGTTGCAGTTTGTCCCCGGCCCTGGTGGGGTCGTGCGGGTGGCAGCCACTCGATGTGTCCCTTCACATCGATGTTTCTCTCTCTCTCTCCCTTCCTCTCTCTCCCTCCCATTCTATCTGTACAAAAAATGGAAAAATACCTTTGGGTGAGGATTAAAAAATAAATAAAAATAAAAGCATGAACCAAGCTCTGGCCGGTTTGGCTCAGTGGTTAGAGCGTTGGCCTGTGGACCAAGGAGTCCCAGGTTCGATTCTAGCCAAAGGCACGTACCTCTGTTCGGTTAGTCCCCAGCCCCAGTTGGGGTTGTGGAGGTGGAACCAGTCGATGTGTCTCTCTCATTTTGATGCTTCTCTCTCTCCCACTCTGTCTGAAGATAAATATCCTTGGGTGAGGATTAAAAATAAATAAATAAATATAAAAGCATGAACCAACATGCTGTCTACAAGAAATTCATTGTAACTACAAAAATACAGGCAGTTAAAAGTAAAATGATGCATCTCCAATGTATCTGCTCCAAATGGAGCAACGGAAACCAGAAACAATCGTTTTCAAGACACTTAGCATCAAACAACAAAGGGCAGTAATTCCTGACAGATTGAAAAAGAAACAGGCAAACCCTGTGATTACACTAGTTCTCTATTTTGAGAGAGTTTCTAGGGCATGGTACAGGAAAGAGAACTCAAGCGGAGACTGGCACTGTCTGAGCTGAGGATAATCCAGATGTCAGAGTCCAAGGAAAGCAAGGCAGCTAGAGTGTGCAGGGCAGGATACCCATGAGCAGCAGAGAGAGGACTCTGAAGATCTGCAGATGGGTCCCTTGACCATGAGGCTGTGATTATCACAAATGTGTGAGGAAACTACCAGGACCGGGGTAAAAACAATCTGAAAGGACCAGAGGTCAGGCCTGGCACTCCCACAAGGCAGGGAATAATGACTGTTCTCAACAGCCAGAATGAAAGTATTCATAAGTCATGGGGCACTGAACTCCAAAAGGTCTTGCTTCAGTAGTAAGGACGATTTGCCCCAGGGAAGCCCCAACTCCATTGTTAACAAGACTGCCCTTGGTCTTGAACTCCCCCTACCCATTCTGTTCCAAATAAAGTCACTTTCTGGGAAAGAAGCTTGAAGCTGGTTTTTTGTTGGTTTTTTAAAATCCTTACCCAATGATATTTTTCCATTTATTTTCAGATAGAGTGGAAGGGAAAGGTAGAGAGAAAGAGAGAAAGAAACACCAACATGAGAGAGACACATGGATTGGTTGCCTCCCACATGACCCTGACCAGGGCTAGGGACCAAACCACAACTTAGATACATGCCCTTAACCGGAATCAAACCCATGACTCTTTGGTACGCAGGCCAACACTCTAACCACTGAGCAAACCGGCCAGGGCTGAAGCTGTTTTTATCTGTATCTCTGAGCCACAGCTTGAGAGTTGGAAGCAAGGACAGTGGAGGGCTTTTCTCAGAATGACATTCCTGCTCTACAGACAGGGCACCGGGCAGGGGTTAGACCTTGGTTTTCCTGGCTTGCTTCTCCCAGCATGGAAAATCTTTACTAACAGCAAGCTGGGGCAAATGTATTCTGAGCCTGCTATTGCTGGGTGGAGCCTGGGCCCAATGAGTGACATCTGGGTAGAGAAGAGAGTCCCTAACCTGTCAGTCACACTTGCCTGAAATTACCCTCTGAGATTGAGGTTGAGGGGATGAGTAAGCCTGGCATCCTGTCCCACCGATAGTGATGCTACTACAGTCCTTGACTGGGATATGGAAGAAGGGGAACCTGTCCTTTTGGCTCCACCCACTCATAATATTACTTTCATCACACAGAGCTGGGGTGGATGGTGGGGAGGCAGGAGTCATAGATTGGATAGCATCAATCTGCTATTCTTACTGATACTTAGCATATTTTCTTAAATAAATATTTCTCCATAATCTATTTAGAGCGACAAATTTCTTTCTTGCTTCTTTGGGAACACAAGAGATTTTTCTTTTCTTTTCTTTTTTTTTATCCTCACCCGAGGACATTTTTGCATTTATCCTCAGATAGAGTGGGAGGAAGAGAGAGAGGAAGAGGGAGAGAGAAACATCAATGTGAGAGAGACACATCAAGTGGCTGCCACCCACAGGACCCCAGCCCAGGCCGGGGACAAACTGCAACTGAGTTACAAGCCCTTAGTGGGAACTGAACCCAGGACTCTCCAGTCCACGGACCGACACTCTAACCACGGAGCCAAACCGGCCAGGGCCACAAGAGATTTTTCTGCATTCCTTAACTGGATACCCCTTATGATAACTCAGTTTTACGTTATAGTCTCAGTTACTAACCCCAACATTATAAAGGCCATGAGCAGGCACCTCTCTGGTGACTAAAAGGTCCAACAGCCACTATTACATCTCTCCCTGGGCTGCTTGGGCACCAGAATACAGGTTGGGCTCTGGACTCCAGGCCGTTTATTCCTGGCACCGGTGAATGTGTGTCTCTTCCACACCCAACTATTTACTGAACTACTTTATCTAGAATATGGTTTTTTCAACGGGCAGTAGGCCTTTTAAAAAAATGTCTGGTCCAGCTGGTGTGGCTCAGTGGTTGAGCGTCGACCCATGCACCAAGAGGTCACTGGTTCAATTCCCCATCAGAGCACATGCCCAGGTTGTGGGCCCGATCCCCAGTGTGGGGCATGCAGGAGGTGGCCAATCCATGTTCTCCCTCATCGATGTTGCTATCTCTCTCTCCCTCTCCCTTCCTCTCTCTCTAAAATCAATAAAGGGGGAAAAAATAAAGTTGTTTTAAATGTCTGAGGGCCAAGTATGCATCAGGTTCTGCACTTAGGACCAATGCCAGGATTAGAGTCCCCCAAAGATTAGAGTCCCCTTGGGAAGATGGACAGTTGGATTGCAAGTAGGGAGTGAAAGACAGGGAGAACATGACCAGAGATCCCGCTATTGGGGAGTCAGAGAATATCTCCAGAAAGAAAGAACATTTTAGTGAAGTCAGAAAAGACAAATGATCCATGGCAGGCATCAGCGCTCTGTAGCCTCGGAGACCCTCCTCACCCCGTGGCCTCCCTACACCTTTGCTATTCCATCAAGCCCCCAAAATAGACAGTTACGATGGGTGTTGACGTTTCAGGGCCTGGAGAAGGAGAGGATGTGAAGATCCCGTGTGATCTACCTGGTCAAGCAGAGCCTCTCCCATTTGAAAGATGGTTCCTTTCAGGAAAGAATAACAAAGTCACATGTGCAGAGAGAGCAGTTTATTGGCGGGCAGGAGAAACACGAAGTTACGAAGTTACGGGGAAAGGATTTCACCTCTGTCACTGAGAGCATGACCTTCGTGCTTAGGATTTCTTGATTTTCTGCCCTTTGGTTTCAAAGGTTTGACTGAATCCATGGCTGTGGGTCGAGTCACTGTACAGTAATAAAACGTGGTCTTGATATCAATGTGAATGAGTTCTATTTATTTTTCCAATCAGTCGCCTGGAGTGCACAGGTCTGTTTCCTTTCTCCCTTTCTCTCTGCTCTCCCCCAGCTCTACTCCTGCTCT